CCTGAGGTTTTCCGAGAAGTACTACCGCAAGGAAGCTTTAGAGGAAGCAGAGGAGGCTCCTGTAAGAGACAGCGTGAGAAATCACCACCAGTTTGCTAGTGAAATCAGCATCCCTGGTGCAAACCCCTCAGGCTGCTCCAAGGTAGAGGCAGAACTTGCACAGTCCAGCTTCATGACTACAAATGCTTTAGGGCTCCCCTGTGCACTGAATGAAACTCCAATCCCCCCATCCAGTTAAAGATCACTTCCATTTTGTTTTAGAAAGAACCAGCAACATTTGAATTTTGTCATTCCCACCAAAAAAAAAAGTTACTATTTTTTCCTTAAAGGAAAATCAGGTTCATTTTCATCATATTTCTGAATGAAAACTTGTTCACAATGAGGGGAGTTCCTGTAGGATGGAAATGTTGAAGATTTTACAGTTTTACCTATTGGAACCATCAGACAGCTGAAGCCACAAAATTATGAAAAAGATCAGGTTGCCTGGGCAACAATTTTTTCACAGTCAGCAGATCAGTCTCACAACTTATTTTTAGCTTTTCTCAAGAAGAGAAATACCATTGCAGAGGGATGCTGGCAACAAACAGAAAAATGTACTGTTCCTGGAAGTAGTAAAAACACTAGTTTCATTACACTGCTATAAAAGAAAATACCATCTATGCTTCTGAAAAAAGGCAAAACCCCAGGCTTTTAGAGTGAGAATTCACAAAACAGATCTGAAACACTCTGATTTTGAACCTGATTTGCATGAGCACAAAGTCAGCTACTTACACATATAAATGGCTAGTTAAACATCTAAGAGATAAACATGTTTTCCCTGTGCAGAACCCAAAATCTGCTGCTAAATCCTACAAAGCAGCCATAATCTTTTATTTAGCAAGACCCTGAAATTTATATTCATGTTATATGCATTTCAACATTTGTGTAAATATATTTGAGAATTTGCCACACTTCTCAGCTGTCATGTATTTTATTTTAGTGCTTGTTTATGTGGAGTGACATTAAAAAAGAAATTAAATAGGAAAGAAATGTATACAATTAGTTATGATGTTCAAAGATAGTTTTTATTACCATTTATCCTTGTGGGCAGGAAAATGTGCTCAGCAACTCAAGACTCAAATAAATTGGCTCTAACAATGCATTTTACGCACTGACATAACATTATCTCTAAGGAAACAGTTCAAATATTTCAAGGGGGAGCAATAGGCAAAAAGCATGCTCTGAAGACCCTGGATTGCCATCCCTTGTTGAAGAGGTGTTATTTCTATCTCCGTTGTAGTGAAACTCCCCAGTGATCAATAAGCCTGGTCTACAGACACTCTGGAAACAGTACTTGTCCCAGTTTTATGAATTATGCCTTATTTCGAAGTATACCTGAAACTCTTTTTTAAGAAGAGATTCTGAGAACCACTTTCCAATTAGATGTAACTGTTATCTCTCTAACCAGCAGAAGTTTGATTTCTCAGCTCGGCACAAACTTCTACTTGGAGTTTAAATGTGGAGAGGATACTCAGGTAGATGTTTTATTCCCTGTTAAGCTACTAAGGCTTAAAAAGTTTTAGAAAGATTTCTTGTAAATGCAGTTCCAGGTGCACTCTGAAACAAGCATGAGTGCTTTACACAGTTAAACAGTCTTGCTCTTTCTAGGCAGCTGCCAAAGCCCTCTGTCTTTCTGGACCTGTTTTGACTTGCTTATACTCAGGTTCTGCAGAGGAGGGATGCAGGAGGACAACTGAAATAGCTTTTCAATTGCAATTCCCTGGGTGAAGAATTTTCTGTCTTTGGAGGTGTCGAGCCAGGCTGCTCTGGATTGTGTGGGTACCAGCAACACTACAGCTCTGGACCATGTATGCTGGCCTCTGCCTATCAGAAAGGTCTTAAGAGGCTACAGAAAGCCCATGAGAGAAAGTGCTGCCTGGAGGGAAAGGAAAAGTTATCATCAGGAGCTGGGTCCCTTCGTTTTTCAGCTGTGTGCAAAATGAGGGTAACACTTGGCCCACCATGTACTTCCTATTCCTGTACAATACATGCATCTAAGATAAGCGGATAGATGAGAGGAGAAGGAAAGAAAGATCAAGTATCAAATGGCCAGCCCTCGGCCAAAACACATTATGTCACTAGTAGCATCTGTGCATACTGCCCCACTTTGTGAACCTTTCTCAGTTCTGTTGCATAACTCTACTGCATCATTAATTAATAACATGCACTAATCTGCACTTACACTTCCTTTGTACCCAGATGTTGATATGACCCCTAGCTAGTAACTCATGACTAGGTCGATATATCATCTGATAAACTCAGGCAGCTTTCCTCCTCTCAAACTGAAAATCTCAGGAGCATAAAGCATCTAGTATCTCAAATAATGAATCTCTGGGTATTTTTTACATCCAGCTCCTATCTGTTATTTCTCCATAACTGGGACACGCTCTGACTTATACCCCCTTACCTGTCACCCTTAATTCTGGTCTGAATGTATGAGATTCAGCTGTGTATTTCAGATGCTACCAGCATTTCAAAACCTAGTGCAATATGAAGGTTTCCTTAGCAACAGTCACTGTAGGAAGCTCTTTAAAGATGACTTTCCTGACTCGTCTAATTCTGCTTTTCAGGGATTTATACAGGTAAATCAGATATAAAGTTTTGATGTAAACTTACAAAACAGCAGCAGAAAAATAAGTGTATTGAGTTTGAATGCAAATAACTTATTTGTGAATATGCTCTCAAAACATATAAGCTCGTAGTATAAGCTCATAGTAGTATATATCCGTCCAGCAATTTGCTCAAAAGAAAGCAGAGGGGATAACTTTTATAAAAAGAATAGCCAAAAAAACTCCTCTCTTCCAAGAAAGCCCATTTGTGTGATCACATTGGATAGGAATGAGCCACACTATGTATTTATTATCTGCCATGTTAAGATAATTAAACAGCTGGTTTATGAACCATTGAACTATTGTGTTGGTTGATTATGCTGTAGGCTTAGTTGCAGTTCATACTCAAGTCCATCTTTCATAATAATTTAACAATGAGGTATCAATTATCATCTTTGAAAGTGTGGAAAATGCCAGTGCTTCAGTAATGTGTTCAGTAATGTTTTATTTTCTCTTTAATTATATCCCAAAAGCAAATCCAGCCAATATAGCTGCAGCAAAGTCACCAGTTGTTTATGGCACAGTAGCAGACCATTAATCAATAGGCTCTGTGCAAGGAGATACCTCTTCTATGCCGATCAAAACAGGAGTTTGATTTTACAGGAGGCATAAGCAATAAAATACCTACCAGTAATATCTAATGTGATGATTCCCTTTTACTTGTGTATCTGCCGCTGTGAAATATTACTGAAATAAGCCGTTTTCAAGCATGATGCTTTCAGTAAATCAGCGTTTCACTGGCAAGTCAAAAAACCATCCTTATTTATGCAAGACCCCTTGCAGAAACATACTGTTTCTGGAAAAGGCAGCCATCATAAAATGTTTCTCTCAGGAAACACAGCTGTCATCCATGACAAAGAATTATCCAGATCTCAAAGCAAGACAGAAGCATGGAGAGTGCAGTGAAGAAGATGAAGCTTTGTTAATGGAAGGACGTCATTTTAATTCTGCTCTCTTTGCTTGGGAGGCTGTCAAGCCTTTCCTGCTGCTGCTAAGGTTTCTTCTCCCTAGCAGCCTATGGACAGTGCCCTCTCCCAGCCCTTCTCTTAGCGCACATTTGCATACAAACCATTTAACAAACAAGAAGTTTCTAGTTGATGAAACTCTAAAAAAAGTAGTAAAAAAATCTGTCCCCTTTTACAGATCCTGATGTCTGCTCTGCCTTTCCAAGACCTCCGCTTCTGGAGAAAGGGATTGCATCCAGCCAAGGCTGCCACTGGGACTATGTGTCCTGAAGCAGGTCAGCCTAGGCATGTATTCCACTCTCTACAGACTCTGTGAGGCACCAATTGCCTGGATAAAAGAAAATGCTTAATACCCCCTAACACCATGAAGAAGTCTTCAGGTATAATCAAACCAGAATATTCCAGGAACAGTCAGAAATTTGTTCAAAACCACTTAGCAAAGTTAGATTTCAAAATAAAGCATTGTTTGGGACAGGAGCAGGGTTTTGACATGGTTTCATCATCTGTGCTAACGGACATCAGCTTCTGCATAGGACAAGCATGTTACTCTGAAACGAAACCTGCCCATTTGATACAAGAGGGTCTGCCAAAGGGCCAGGTCTCTGCTGCTGTTCACATACTCTTAAAGCCTACTTACCAAGAAACACAAGTAGATTATATAGATTCACTTTTTCAAAGTGGCTGGAGTAAAGGCTTGTGAGTTTTGAAAGGTCAGTCATGGTTATCGACTGCTTCATAACAGTACTAAAAGCCTTTTCATAGCAAAAGCACTTGATCACTGACAAAATATCGATTCAGGCACCAGAAAATACCACTATGTAGGACATGAAGCATATTGCAGAGCAGGAGAACTTAAACATACAAAGAACAATTCATAAAAGCTTTTCACAGTTAGCTTTAAAGAAAAAACATTATTAGCTATTTATTATTTTTAATTGCTACCTGAACAAACCACTGCTGCATTATGTTGATTTTAAGGAGCAATATAAACACATGCTTTTTTTTTGCCCTCTATGTGGTTTGCCCTCTTTGACTTTCCCTTCTTAGAGAATCTGTTGCCTGGCTTGTGGCAACTGTGGTATTCACGCCCAAGGGGTTGACTTCTCTCCATATCCATTCCTAAACAAAATCTCATTTCTTCACCTTTTGCATCATATCCAAGGCATTTGGGTATACAATGGGATTAACTTGGAAAAATGGGACAGCACCTTTCAGCTGAACATTTTCTGTTGTTCCAGGTCATTGTTGCAATAGGTATTTTATTAAAAATAGTACAAGTGCCTATACTTGGGAATGAGTGGATAAACGCCAATCCCACAGTCTACACCGTGAATGCACAAAACTTTGCAAGCCACAGATGTCAGGAGATTTCTTGAGTCTGCCAACACATATGCAAGGTTGCTTCCAGAAGGGACATTTGAATGCAGTTTTAGACAACTGCATGAATAGACAAAAGTGCCAAGCTGTCCCTCGGGAGTAAGTTCGTGGCTGCAGTGTTAACATGGAATGTCATTCTAGAGATACAGAAGTTGCTTAATCCAGGATTAAGATGTTACGATTCCTTCTCTTAGGTTTCTAAAGCTCAGGTGGCAAACAAGGACAATTGAAGTCATGCATCCTCTGAGTCTATGCCATAAGAGGAACATACTATAAATAACTTGCCCAATATCCTGTGGCATTTTCTGGGGTTAAATCCTAGAAGAGGGGGTTAGTTGGCCTCAAATAACATCACAGTCAAAACCAGGGAATTTCCTGAAAACAGGAAAACAGAAATGAGCTATGGTGACCTGGAGTCAGCTTCTTCTACAGTTTCAGTGGTAGAAAAAACATAAGAAACATAATTATGACTTTGAAAAACTTAACTTGTGACACTGAATAAAGCATTAACTTATCTGGTATTTGCTTTGAAGCTTCAATAGCACCTTCTGTTTTAGTATTTGCTATACAAGATATACCTTGATCAATATCAAAATAAGATGTATTCCCCAACATAGTACCATCCCCACATGTGATGCTGACGTCCATCAACATATGTTGTTCAAAAGCTTCCTAAATAATCAAACAACATGAATTTGGGAATGGCTTTTGCATCAGAGTTCAGAATTCAAATATACTTGCCAGAATAGAATCTTGGTTTTATTCCCTAAGCAAAGCAAAGCAACTTCAGTGGCAGTGGAATAGTTGTTTGCTACCCATTGAAAATTCAGAGTTTTTCTTAAAAATAATCTCCAATAATGCAGCTCAGTTGATTACTATCACGCATTCTCTTCCCTACATTGCTGCAAGAGACCATTCAGGTTTCAGTCATAGGAGCCATGATTCACCAAGAGGCTACCCTCACTTCCATTAACATATTTTGGAGCAACTCTCTTTTCCAAGCCACAATTATATCTATAAGGGCTGGATGGTTTTGCAAATACACACACATACTTTATAAGTGCACCACTACAAGAGAGACAGATGTGTTACTGATGGTAATAGGAGCAAAAGAATCTCATGTTATCATCAGTCCACCCTGGAACAAAAAAAAAATCCCTTAAATCAATACTTAAATCCCAATGCATTCAGTCTATACTAGCACATACATTAGCACAGTCTTTAAGACATGACAATCTAGGTTGTTTTTTTTTCTGTATGTATTCTGTCTGCTATTCTACTTCTTCCATTACTGCATTTTCCTTTTTGCCTTTTCTCTACTCAGCTTCACAAACGCGGACAATAAAACCAAAGAAAAATGTTTTTTTCTGCTGTGAGAGTCTCATTTTTTTAAGCAAATATCTTGCATTTAATACACTTAGGGAAAGTTCAATTTCTCTTCTTCACCACTGAAGAAGGAGAAAGATGCATCCGAAATTATTTACCTCTGGATAAAATGCTCTTGCTATGCAAGCAGGAGCTGAAACCTGCTTTTTCCCTTCTGTAGGTAGGTCACCTACCTAGCACATGTGCTTCCAGTTGCTATCTAGTCACAAGCACATAATGTAGATGTTTTACCCCAAGGCTGTAAGTAAAGAGGTACTCAAAGAGAACCACTTTAGAGGGATTTTGGAGAAGAATGAAATCTTCCACAGACATCCTTAACAATTATCCCCATGCATGTAAGAAGAGATAAAGATTTAAACCACAGCAAAGAGGCTTTTCACTATAAAAACAGGACAACTTTTCATTTGCTGACTTGTGCACAGAGATCATTTTTGAACTGCTTATGTATGGAGAATGCATTTTTCACACCAGATAGCAAATATGTTCTTCTGAAAGCTAAAACCATACTCTGTGGCAGTGTTTGCTATATGTTCATTAGAGAAAGATTAATCATATAGGGCTAGTTTTTAAAGATGAGCTGCGTAGCACTTTGTTTGCATACTATTGTACTGAGCATATGTTTTCTGCTACAGTTGACAGGTGGTACTTTTTTATTGAAAACAATTAACATCAGGGTCAAAATGGTTGGATATTTCATTTTCCTGTTCCAGGTCTCGTAAAACCTAATTAAAAATAATAGACAGGTGCTTATATTAATCTTTAACCATGCTTATGCCCACTTGGCTGCATAAACAGCCGTTAAACCATAAACATGTTACACTGTTCATACCTCAAAAGGCAAATGAACATGTTAGACCTGAAAAGCTTATTTCCCTCTGAAGTGACACAAACCAACATATACAGAAATTTAGTAGTATCTTTTAGTAGCAGGGAAGTGAGGGGCTCAGTTGGGTTATAGGCAGATAAACCTCATTTATGAGGTCTAACAAAAGCTTCCCCTTTGATAGATCCTGCATTTACACAGCTGGTGTTCACTTGGTCAGTTACAGGGTAATAAGGAAAATTGTAATTCCAACTCCTAATTTGGAGGTTTTATTCCTTCCCCAGCAAATATTTAAAGTAAGCACAGAATTGCATATTTATTTTTTCCTATTTTAAAGACTTCCCAAATTTTCAGTAGCTTTGAAAATCCTAGGAAATATTTCCTTTGGAAATCTTGCCCTGATTTTCCCCAAATGACTAGTAAGCTCTGCCTACAGTGCACGGATCACCTGCCCTTTAGCTCTGTCGTCCGCTGCCCTCAACCGCCTGTTGCTTGTATAAATGAATAAATGCATATAACCTGCTTTTAAAATTTCAAATTGTAGGAGATTTAAGAAGTTGTAAGGTCCGTTCTTTAAAAAAAAACCAACATTGGTCTACTTTTTGCTTAAAGTCTGGATTTTTTGTGATTTATTTTTTATTTCTGCTGAAATAAAAAGAAAAAAAGCTCAAAGCAAGCAGTTGTGAGAATAAGATTACTACAGGAAGAATATTACAACTGGATTTTTATTTACAAGGATCCTTACATCTTTTGGTTTACCAAAATTAATACTTTAAATTAATGACTAAGTAGAAAGTTAGTAAAATGCTCCTTTAATTACAGATTGTCCTCTAGTCTGAAGCAATTGCAGACAAAATACAGACTGAACTGCACCAGTATTTTAAGTGAACTTGTATCATTTAGTGCAGACAGAAATGAGATTAAAATCCCCATCAAACTAAAAAACCACCCAGTTTGTTCAAGCTTATTCACATCATTGTGGGGGGAAAAATGTACTAAACTACACTCAAATCAAAAAATGAAATTTAGAATTTCAGAATAAATCTCTGAGAAAAGCTGATCACCGACCTCCCATATTATAATCATTCCAACTAAGATGAATTTTAGAAGTTATTCCAACTTATGTATTGGACCACTTAAGAATAAAGGATTGTACCTTGATAAAGTACATTGCCAGAGATGTGAGAAAATAAACACGTGTAATGTTTAGCATGAAGCCAGTATTAATGTAGCTATTAAAACTATTTATTCTGTCCACAGCTCTGTGATTTCTTAACCAGTTTCAATACAGTATTACTATTACCATTGCTAAGATTTATTTCCTGGCTTAATGTCCTATTTTAACTTTTAATTTCAAGCCATTTTAAACTCAGCATATAAACTGTCAGTTCAGAAAGCATGTTCATTAAATTACAGAAACAGGCAGAAATTTTGTAATTATCTCTGAGCTAGAATCCAGCTTCTAAACCACACATCCCGATTTTCCCATTATTTAAGAAAAACACTTACATGGGGGAAAAGGCTTCTGAAATTTATTTAAAGGGAATTTTTATCATAGGGATTATGCCTTATCTAAGTTGATGTTATTTAATTTGGCCATCACAAGCACTAAGGTGTTCTCTGTAGATGAATACCAAGTCTCTGCAGCAGTTCTGGGATCAGTGTACATGTATCTGGCTGGCTGAGTTGCTAACTGCGGCGTATGACTTGGCTGAGGACTCAAAGAAAAGCAGGCAGTATGTCTAATACTCATAGATAGCATCCCCTATTCATACCTCAAACTCCAGCAATGTTACTTACTGCTGTACCCAAATTAAAATTACTCCCTGATTGGTATGTGAGGTAGCAGTCTTCAGGACCTGTCACCTCAAGTACAAATTCACAACTTAGCCTAACATCTAACATGAATTCCTATCATGTGGAGCACCTCTCTGGCTATAAGAAACTAATGTGGCAATGAGGAGAAACACTATCCCAGTGTGACCTATTCCTTCCGCTTTCAGCGGCCAGGACCATGCACAGGGCTCGGTCTCTGCCAGTTTACAGTACCTAAAACACCTTGATCTTTTTCCAATTTCCAGTGCATGTTGTGGCAGATTATTTTTAAGAATCCATAAAATAAAGCCAAACATTTTACTTCCAGTAAAACACAGGACTTATTTTGCAGCCAAAATAAAGTCTTTCTCTTTTGTGGGAACTCAATTCAGCATCATCACATCAGCATACTAAAGTGGAAATGGGACTGTGGGAACACAAATCTCAACATAAATCACTGTGAGCTGTCCCCTACCAGCACCTACCCCTCTCCTAGCAAGCAATAACATAGCTGACATTTCTTTTTTTCCCCCCAGGACATCCTGAAGCCAATTAATCTGTTGCATGGATTAATGAGATGAAAGAACACCCTGACAGGTAAGAAACCTGTAAGAACCATTTTGCCATATCTTTGTATTTTAAATGTTAAGAAGTGAGCATAAAATAGATAAAACTTTTATTGGTAGAAACAAAGCTGTAGACCATGATGAATGGATCCAGAAGATCTGGTGTGACAGCACATTGCTTTTAAACATGTATAGTTAAAATGCACTCCTACTAATAAGACTCTCAGAAGTCAAGTTTTTAATCACTCAACTCACATTTGCAAAACTGGTGCACTGTTTTGCACTACCACCTCTGCTGGCAGGACCCAAGGAGTTTATGATGCTAAATACATCATATTTTATAGAGGGAAGTGGCAGATGACTACCATAATCAATTATTCTTATGTTGTAACACCCACCCACAGCAGGAACTCTGCCTCAGACATAACAATCTCAATGACTTGATGCATTTTATCTGTTTGAATTTACAGATCATATAGTAGTATCCGAGATGCTCTTACAGACTCTGCTGGTGCTCACTGAAACTGAGTGCTAGTTTCAGTGCTTGTCTTTGGGGATTCAGAAAGACAAATTGGAGTCATTTTCTTTTAAACAGACAGTTGAAAACTTCATTTGCCACCCCTTATATAACAAAAGAACACAATCTAGCCAAAAAGAGATAAGAAACCTCAAAAAATAATAATTCCTCCATCCAACAACTCAGAAAAGCCTTTTATATTTATACCAATTTATAAATGTATACATTTGTATAATTTATAAATGCACTTTATATTTCATTTCGTGGC